TTTATAGCATGTTTCTGTGTAAAAGAATGACTATGAAATTAAATTGTCTTATTTCTAGCAATTTTCTTCCATAAACAATAACATCACTGCTAAAAGGGTTGCTTACAAACTTACTTGAAATATTTTGGGGGGATATTCTAGTCTTCAAAACAAATGGTAGCTGTCAAATTCTTACTGCATAATCTAAAATGTTAATCCATGTACTGTATTTCATTTGTAATAAGTCTTTATGATAAGGTTAACACTGCAACACATAACACAAATAAGAGAGCACCGAAAAATGAAAATTACTTTGCTTATGTTTCCGTATTAGAATTTTATTTGCTAAAGGGTAAAAACCGATTTGCAAAATTCACAGTTAACTTAAAACAATAGTTTTAAACCTTTTATTCCTAGCCCTTACTGCCTTCAGGAAGGGGAGAACATCTGGTTATTTAAGGAACACAATATGTTCACATTTTCTATGACTTTTGTTTCTAATTGGGTTTTAAAATTTCTTTTGAATTTGAACAACTAGTTAGAACAATGTTTTTTAATCACTTCATATTTTTCAGACTGTCCTCCTTCTATCCCTCTGCTTCCTTTAGTGGATTGTTGTTGGAAATCTGCTCAGTGGTTCTAATATGATAAAGAGAAGAAAATGAGAATTAGGATCATGGTCTGAAGAGCTAAGTATAGAAACCCTACTTATGGTGAACAGAGTATAAGATGCTACAGATACTTGACTATCCAGTCTCTTCATACAGCATACACTTTATTTATTTATTTATTTATTTATTTATTTTTGAGGAAGACCAGCCCTGAGCTAACATCTGCTGCCAATCCTCCTCTTTTTGCCGAGGAAGGCTGGCCCTGAGCTAACATCAGTGCCCATCTTCCTCTACTTTATATGTGGGACACCTACCACAGCATGGCTTGTCAAGCGGTGCCATGTCTGCACCGAGGATCCGAACCGGTGAACCCTGGGCTGCCGAAGCAGAGCGTGCACACTTAACCGCTGTGCCACCGGGCTGGCCCCCATCAGCATACATTTAAAAAATTCTCAAACAATTCTTGGGCCACTTATATACATGGCAATTTCATTTATTTCTGATGCAAATAAATGTCTATTACAAATAGAAAAATTTGTATAAGAAATATCAGTAACTAGGATTCTACTATTTTTAAAACTAATGAAGCTATAGCTCTTGTGTGGAAAGGTGGTTGGAAGACCTGGGTTCAACTGCTGGCTCTGCCACTGACAAGCTGTGTGACCTTGAAGGACTCCCTAAACTTCACCTTGATCCTCAGTTTGTTTATCTATAGAAGGAGAAGCTGGATTAGACTCTCTTGGTTCTCTGCAGTTCTGAAATTATTAGTGACAGTCTAAGTGAGGTATATTAACCACATTCTTTGCTAGGTCTTCTTCATTCCATAATATTGAAAGGTGGTAACAGGTTTTCAAATAATTCTAACACATAGTAAATTTAAGGAACTAGATGCTCTTTAAGTTCAAGTTGTAGGGTTAATTCACTGCCATGATAAAAATGGCAGCTGACAAATATATAACGACTGTGGCTTCTACGGAATATGGATATGGGTTCCAGAAATATGCTAGGTGACTGAGATCCACCTAGATTAGAGTCAGTATGGTATACTAGAAGACACTTAGCATTTGAGTCAGAATACAATTCTACCATTATTAATATCAACCACTGCAGGACACAAAGCTAAATGCTACAAAATAAGCAGGATCATAAGGAGAAATAATTGATAAAATAAATAAGCAAATAGCTAAAGCACAAGGTGCTGTGGGCACTCAAAGAGGAAAACATGGCCTATCAGAGCCTGGAAATGGCTTCCTGGAGCAGGAAGAATGGATGCCGGGAATCTCAGGAGGGAATGAGTAGATACAAAGGTCATGGAGTCACTTTAGCTAGCTTGGAAGCTTACAAGCTTTTTGGCCTTGGGAAAGCCACACAATCTTGACCTCCCTGTATGGAAAAAGAATGAGGAAAGATAACCGGCTCTGCCTATGTCATAGCTTGTTGTGAGAACCAAATTAAGCACATGAAGTGCTTGGAAACTGTGAAGAAGTATGATCCTATGATTACAGTTTAGAGGCCCATTATTTCAGTCTGTTTAAATAAGAAATCTTTTCACAGTAAAGCCTATATCTGATATAAAACAGTTAAAGCTCAGCATCTTAAGCTTTACTTGCAGAGTCTATTCTCAATTGAGCAATCTCCACTGGGATTCAGGGATAGCGATAGGACAAAGAGCTTCTCTGAAGGCTGACAATGAACTTAGGGGAGCTCAGAGTTCCTTGTTTATTTTTATTTTACTGAGTCTATCAGCAACACTCAACACAACTGTCACATGAAGCTGGGATATGGGAAAGTGTACTTTCATGCCTCAAATTTCATCTTTCTACTAGTTCCTTTCATAGAGACTTGTGTGTTTATATACTTGTTCTGATCTACTTGAATCAGGAATGATTCAAGTATTTTAAGCGTTTCATTGTTGCTAATAAATAGAAAACATTTAAAGCACTCTGACATCTGGATTCTTAGAGGATGTGGATGGGGTACTAAAATCGTCTTTCCTTCTCTTTCTTTTCCCCCTCAGCATAAATGGCCTCCTTTACGTCTTTAAAATCGCCATAAATGACACTGAAAACTCCGTCCACTTGTGGATTTCTATAATATATACAAACTTGCTGCTTTTTTCCTTTTTTTTATTTGTACCTTTATAGCACTGGATTGGCTCCCGTTACATCATTAGAAGTCAGTTCTTTATGGACAAAGGCTGCTCTGGTTGGGTGAATCATTAGAGACAATTTAACTCAATCACAAAAGAGAAGACCAAGACTCAGCAAGCGTGAGTTTCCCAAAATCGCAAGGATGATTGGTAGCAGAGTCAGGATTTCATGTAGTGTCCCGATTCCTAACTCAGGCTCCTTGAAGGATACTATGCTGCGATAGACCTACAATTAGCACATGTGCCAAGTGATGTTAGTTATCATTTGACATTTACTAAATAATGTCAATGAGTCAGCCACTATATAAACTTAACCAAGACTATAACCTTGCTGGGTTAGCCATCTGAAAGCCCCTTAATACTATACAGCTTTCTTTACTTTTCCTATAGATATCATCATTCCATGAACTTGTTCTCAAGAGATTTTTAAACGTGACTCCCTCCCGCCCAATTTCTTATGTCTCAGAAATATCAGTTTAAGCTCCCACATTTTGAACCATTATCTTGATCTTGTTTTTCCTTGGTAAGAAGACCCTGAATATAAAAGTGGGGAATATCTTTTTTTAGATACTTATGCTATTCATTACTTTTTTTCTTAAACCTTAGAGAATGTATTTTTTTAATGCTTGTAGAATTGGTTTCATTATACCCTTATATTATGTACAGTACCTTATTGAGATAAAAAGTACTCTACTAAAATCACAGATTCTATTAATAACATTAATGGATTTAGTATATAAAATTCTACAACTAGAAGAGCAAATGATTCATAGGAAGATCAACCATATTTAGCCAGGAAAAAATTACCAAGATCAATAGGTTTAGATAACATATTCATTTCTCCTTTCAATTAAACCAAACAAATCACACAAGTAGAGAATTCAAATAGTCATTTTAGCAATTTTTCCCCACTCTGTATGACTCTAAGAATCCCTAATGCTGAGCTAGTAGAATCTACCTCAATCTGTAGACCAAAACTCATATATCTCATTGACTAGCAAACTCATTCTTTATTCCTTTTATAGATATTTCATAATCTTGGTTATTTATTATAAAGAATATATACTTATACAACTTACATACACATATATACATAAAAAAATATGTATGGGGTTTTTGATTTTCGCAGTCAGACTCCTAAGCCTTACCAGAAAAAAACTCATCTATATGCTACCTTAGGTATCAGAGAAACAATGGATTATATTTTTGATATTTCATGGAATTTTGTGTAAGAGAAATTATATAAAATTGTGTATTTCTTCAGAAAATAGATACAGGCACAAGGAAATGAATTCTCTCAAATCAATCAAAGAATAAATAGAATGTTGAAGTCAACAACCGAGGAAAGGACAGAAATCTTTTAGAATCAAAACCTTGAACTTGGAGGCCCAAGTTGATCAGACAGAGCTTTGGCAACGGAATCTACAGACAGACTGACTCAAAGACAGTTCAACAACTGCCAACATGACTGTTGGGAGTTCTGCCAAAGAGCCAAAGGCTGGGATTACTACCCATTGCCTGGCATTCTCATACTCGTGTTTGAAGCTTTCTCTCTTACTACTTCATCCAATATTTTTGTTTGGCTCAAAAGCATCAAGAATTCACAGATTTTTTTAGATCATTAAATGTTCTTATTTTCAAGAAATATAACATTAGTTGTAAAAGAGCACACTTCTTCTCTGAAGTGTAAAGAAAATTTTGGTGACTTGCTTTAAGTTCAAATAGAGAAATCAGCATTAAAGACTGTTTAAATCTTTATTTTATTAGGTTACTTCCTCACCCACAAAATAAGAAATACATAGTCATAATATGAAATAATTTAGTATTTTATTGTATCATAAATTCTTACAGAACTGGTCCTTTTTGTAGTTCTAATGTCTTGGTCTTCACATGGCCTCCAAGGCTCTACTTGGATAAGCTGGCCCTTGTAAGGGGTACCAATGATAACAAAGTGTAGTTATAAGGAGAAGCAGTTGTTCAACCACTTCCTTGAGTTATGAGGAAGGCAGGAGGGCAGAACAACTTTCTGAGGGATAAGCAATGTGTGCTCCAGTTTCTCATGACAATGTCCAGTTAATTTGCCTGCTGAGTTGCTAGCCAATGAGGCAGGTGAGTTTTGGCCTACAACTCTAGGCAAATTCTTTTATTAGGCAATGTATCTGCCATTAGATGCATTCTACTTTAGGAATTCTTGGAGTCATAGAGAGATATCAATTTTTCACTGAACTTAAAATGATGCATATCCTACTTGGAAAGCTTACCTTTGGATCTCGAAGAAACAGAGCCTTAAGAATCAGTGAGTGTACATCCCCAATTGGGGGGAAATGCATCAGAAGGCCAAGACAGGTCTGGTAGTTACTAGAGATCACTAAATAAGAGGGAAAAAACATAATTCAGAAGCAATACTGTTTAAGATATTTGCATTACTGAGAGTAAAAAAATAACTTAGATTCAAAGAAAGCAAATCAATAATTCAATTGATTTGATAAAAGGAAATAGGGAGAAGGGATCTTTACCAAATGGCCTTTGAAGTAGCACACTGTACTGTTAATTGCAATCTAATACACTAGCACTTATCCTCAGGGGGCGCTGGAAGGAAGAGCCTCAGATACAGATATGTGTGTGCATTTGCAATATAAATAAACTCTTAGAAGCATGCATATTTATTGCCATTTATATGGCTGTGTTTAAATATCTCTAGTTTTGCTGCTTAGAAATTAGTAACAAAAATCTTATGAATGGGAAAGAACCAGTTTAAAATTCTCATAAAATAACATTTACCCTGATTATTATGCTTCGTAACTTACGTATGTTACACTTATTCTTTTGTACATATAAAAATTACATAATTCAAAATTAAAGAAAACATAATTTCTTCCAATTATTTGTTCTTCTAAAGGTAACAAGGAATTTAGGGAGAATATCCATGCAGCATTTCTTGGAGGAAAAATGTCAAAATCTTCACAGATAAGCCTAACTATATTCCTTAGACTGTCATTTAATTTTTTTTTCAAATCAACCTAATTATGGGCGCAATTATTAAACACATCTTTTTAGGCAGGTCTATGTAAACTACTTCATTTCTTGGCAATCCATCTGCCACTGCTGTCACAGTTGGGCCCATTAACGACGCTTATTTTGTAAGCCACACTGACTGCCTCCACAGCACTGATGTGAGGAAACTTTACACTTATAACTTCCTGTGGTTGCAACAGAATCCCTTTCATTAATCAGAACAGTTCGTTGAAAAATATTCCATAGGAAAACTGTGATTCAATAGAAACAACACAAATCACAAAAGAAACAATTATTTGTAATCAGAAATACCCGTGATTCTTGGAAGATCTTTTTTCTTCTTCTGTTGGAAACACCATTTCTCGCTATAGCTTCCCACCCCCTCCCCCTTCCCATGAACATTATGGGGAAAGGAGACAGGACTGGGCAAAATGAATAATTATAATCTATGTAAGGAACCACTTTATCATCTTCATTTCCGTTGCTGATCTGACAGCTTGTAATTTCATACATCTGCTTTCATTTGTAAAGCACTCACTTATCCTACCCTTTCTATATCTGTTCAGACTCGTCTTTTCTTACTTGTTCATTGTCATATTCACATTCAGTTACCTGTTGTCCTTTTTAGGCTAGAATCCAAAAAGCTAGGACACTGAGAATAGTATGTTTTCACGTACAGTTTTCTTTGAGATCTAGCAAGTAAATAAAACTTAGGTAATTTATTTTATAACTCATAAAGTTATTTGCCCAAACACTATAATGATTATATATTATTAGTAACTGACTCAGGAAGAATTCTTGTATATTCTGTAAGAGAGGCAGAAGAGTTTTGTGGAAATGGTTCTAGGCTCAGGATTCAAAGATGTGGGCTTGAATCCTAGGACACCGTCCAAACCTTTCATAAAGTTGGCTAAAGATTAAATGATATAACCTATGTGACTGATTCACAGTAGCTGCTCAAAACCTTTTGGGGGTAACCTCTCTGGGCTTAAGTTTAGTCATTTGGAAAACAACTTTCTGACTTAAAAAAAAAAAATTTAACTGCCTACTTCATTCAATCCAATAATTATTTGTTGAGTACCTAACCCATGAAAGATCCCATGTTAGGAGAGGATGCAGAGATGAACAAAACACAGTCCTCATCCTGAAGAAAATTAAAGTACAGAAGGGTAAAGATGTAACAACGAGCAGTTATTATTACTACTACCACTAAGATGTTAACGAACTATTGAAGGCTTTCTGAGGCCAGGCCCTATGCCAAAGAACTTCACCTGCATTATCTCATTTAATTTCTATGGCAATCTTATTATAAGGGTATAATTATCATCCCTGTTTTACAGATGAGAAAACTGATACTTGGAAAGCTTAAGTCATTTGCCCAAATCACACAGTGATTTGGTGGAGGAGCAAAATTTGAAATTCAGAAATCTAGCTGCAGCGGCTGTGCTCTAAGACATGGCTTTGTTCTGAGAGGCCATTGTTTTGAAAATCAAATGACATAAAGGATGCAAATAGTCACTGCAATCATTGCAAACAGAAAAGCCAATTAGTATTATTACTCTTGTTAAGTAGTTTTAAGTAGCTTGGAAGGTCAGCATAACCCAGTCTCTAAAACAGCCTGATAATAGTAGGTATTTATTTGAAGGGACCAGAGCAACAACTCTATATTATTACAACTTGACAGAACTGTTGAAGCCATTGGAAGCTGTAAAATACATAAGGGAAGTCAAATAATGTATTAATATTCTACTTGCAGAACAAATGAAGGAGCTAACATTCTTTTTCTCATTTCTCCCATCCATCCATCCATCCATCCAGTCACCGAATGCAATGAATGTTTCCTGAGCACCTACTAAATCCTGGATACACGGAGACTGCACTAGGCACCGGCAGTAGGGATATAACGTTAAAGGAGTCTGACTTTGGAAGGGTAGCAGAACATGCCACCCCGAAATACGGCTGTAGGAGTTCAAGACATGCCACCCCAAAATATGCTGCTTTGGTATTTTGATTATTTTGAGCTGTAGGTACCTGAAAAACGCAAATTCAGCTTTCTCTGAACTCCCCTTATCTGCTTTAAGATAAATCCTCCAAAAGGAACTCAATTGTCATAAATCTCCCCCAGACAAACTTTGTCACAAATTATCATACCTCCCATCTATTCTTCTAAGGGCCCATTCATCTTTCCTACAAATCATTTACCCTCCCCGAAGAGGCCTACACATCCCCCTCCACTCTCTTATAAGATAGTATTTAATCCTGAATTCTACAGGCATCTCTGAGAGTCACTCATTTTCCCCTGAGTATTGCCCAGATATATATGAAGTAGGCATGTTAATAAACTTTTGTTTTTCTCTTGTTCATTTGTCTTTTTATTACAGAATGCCAGCTGAAAACCTAACTGGATAAAGTTTTACCTCCTCTACAGCCCTCTGCCCTCAGATCATGACATCTCTAATTTATTAACAAAAATCTGTAACTTTAGAGCACTTTTAATTTGTAAGTACATATGCTAAGTATTAAGTCCCTTTTGAATAACTGTGCCCGATTTAGAGGAGGCAAAAGAGAATTATACAAACTGTTTTAAAAAACCAAAATAGCAGAGATCTGATAGAATAAGAATTTAGTTTTGATTCTTAGAATAAATTTTTGTTGAACTTAAAAAACTCATCTAGGGGTCAACCTGGGGGAGCTGTGGTTAAATTCATGCACTCTGCTTCGGTAGCCTGGGGTTCCTCAGTTCAGATCCCAGATGCACTGCTTATTGAGCCATACTGTGGCAGGTGTCCCACATATAAAAAGAGGAAGATAGGTACAGATGTTAGCTCAGGGCCAATCTTCCTCAGCAAAAAGTGGAGGGTTGGTGGCAGATGTTAGATCAGGGCCAATCTTCCTCAGCAAAAAGAGGAGGATTCATGGCAGATGTTAGCTCAGGGCCAATCTTCCTCAGCAAAAAGTGGAGGGTTGGTGGCAGATGTTAGATCAGGGCCAATCTTCCTCAGCAAAAAGAGGAGGATTCATGGCAGATGTTAGCTCAGGGCCAATCTTCCTCAGCAAAAAGTGGAGGGTTGGTGGCAGATGTTAGCTCAGGGCCAATCTTCCTCAGCAAAAAGTGGAGGGTTGGTGGCAGATGTTAGATCAGGGCCAATCTTCCTCAGCAAAAAGAGGAGGATTCATGGCAGATGTTAGCTCAGGGCTAATCTTCCTCAAAAAACCCCCCAAAACCAAAAAACTCATCTATAATACTGTTTCTTTTCCAGTGTTTATTCTATCAGAGCAGGGCAGTGACATGAGGGGAAAAAGTGAAAGATTAAAAAAATACTGAGTTTCGGTATCTGACTACATTTGAAATCAAGTATGAATATGCTTTAAAAACAAAGTACTAAAGCCACACTCCAGAGAGCTTATTCAAGGAAGGTTAAGACAACGTGAGTGGTATCTAGTAAAACAGACTGGATTTGGAATCAGATGATCCAGATTAGCATCCAGATTAGATCTCTATCAGAATGCTGGCCACGTCACTGATGATACGTGTGAATTCAGGCAAGCCGCTTAACTTCACTGAACCTTTATTTCCCCATTTATAAAACAGGTAATGCTCACTCTGTCTGTGGGGTTTCTGTAAGGGTGGCACAGATGCAAGGTAGTGTGATTCCTCATGTTGCTTAATTCTTGCTGAACACCACTTCCTCCACATGAAGCAGAGCTGACCTCTCTGTCTCTGCCTTTAAATGACCCACAGTTGTCCTTGAGTGGTCTAAGGGAGCTGACTTAAGTAGTTTCTCCAGAAGTATCAATAAGAAATAATTACATCAGTAAAGATAATAGAGGACATGACTGTTCTGATAAAGTTTAAAGCAATGTGGATAAATAACTTAAGTATATGTTAGAGTTAACTCTACTTACAATTGTTAACATTTGTAAATAAAACACTTTATTCAAATTATTTAATTTCATATTTTGATATACTTTTTCAAGGTTATCAAATGGACTGAGAACAACCACCACAGAACACAAAACTACACGTAGATTTCCTTTACTTTCTCTAAAATTAAAAAAAGTAATAGTCAGTACTTATTAAGGACATATAAAGTGCCTGGCAACTTGCCATATATTATACCAACTCCCCATGAGTCTTCCTAACCCTCCCTCAGGAAGGCATTATCATCAACTCCACATTATGGGTGAGGAGAGGGTAGTGCAGAATGGATAAACAGCACATCGAGGCCACAGGGCTCCTGGATGGCAGAGACACGGCTGAACCCACGTTTGTGTGGCTGCAAACCTCACTCTTCACCACTGTCATCTTATACTTTCCTGCATTCCCAGCAGAGAGTGTCACAATGAGGGTAT